ATTTTCAGTAGCATCACAGTATCTCAGTGTGGCAGAGAAATATGGCTCAGCTTAAATCATAAACCCAAATCATTGGATAGTATGTAAAAAAATATATTTCCCCTTAAACATATTCAGCGTGGTTGGGTACTTTTTTGTTAGTAGTGTGTGGTGTTTGCTGCTTGTTGCATAAAAATGTTGCTACAACTTAAAAGTGAAGTCAGTGCAATAACCGGACAGCCTCAAATCCAGCAGACTGTACTTTTATTAAAATCCCCAGGACGAAACCATCAATTATTGACATAAGGTTTAATATAGAACGTTTTAGACCATTAGTGTTTAAGGCTTTAAGGCAGCCTCAATGGAAGAGCTTTGAAAATAAGTCATTTTCTAAGAATAGCTCAAGCAACATTTTCCTGTTGATTAAATAAGTTTAAATGCACTGTTTGAAATTGTACCTCTGAATATTTTAGAAGGACTCTACTATTACAGCACCATTAATGTGTCTGCACACTTTTTTTGTAATGAAATAAGGTATTTTCAGCTGTGACTTTGCGATTCTTTTATAGAGCCATGTAAGATATTTTATATAACGTTGCCTTACAAGGACAAAAATCTGTAAATAATAAAAGAGAAGGATGGGGACAGCAAACTAATGATTCTCTATAGCTGTAAATCAGCACAAACCAGACAATAAAAATGTTGTCTGAACTACTGTTTCTAAGCATAAGAGAACCAAAAGATTAATATTTTTTTCCTATTTTGTGTGAAGATAAGTGAGATGTTTTTCTGAAAAGTCTAAAGAGTCACCGTCACTATGCTAGTGTGTTATGGGTGGCTGCCAGGGCATAGTTATGTGGTTACTAAGGTATTCTGAGTGTTTTCTACAATGGTGCAATGTGGTTGCTAGGGTTAGTGCTAGGTGGTTGATTACTGGCCCAAGTTAAAAGAAAAGTCCCACATCACTACGATATTCTGGTCTCTGATTTGGCTCACATCCCTCCTCCAATGCAAGTCGATGGGATTTTTCACTGCTTTAACATTACCCAAGCCAAAATTCTAAGTTTTTGTCTATATTTACACTTGTGAAAAAAATCATTTTAGCCTACTTTTAAAAAGAGTACTTCTTGCAGAAATGAAAAGAATATACAAATTGGATGTCTGAACTTTGAAAGAGCAAACTGAATATTAGTCAACACATCAAAATAAGCGTGCATCTTTAAAGCATGACAAAAGATTATTAACAGATTATTATCTTAAATGGACATTAAAGCGTTTAATTTGGTGTTATTTCAATGTGCACTTTTTAAAAGTATACTTACAATGTTATAAAACATAGTCATGAAAGTGTACTCTCTTAAGTTAAGTCACTTAAGTGACCCTTTATTTCATAAATATCATACTATCAGTAAGTAGAGCTCTTTTTTTTCTTCTTAAAATTCTTTCAAGATTTGAATAACGGTACACTACAGGTGCACATTCAATGCAATTAAACGCACTTCTTTTTTCACAAAGACATGCATTTTACCTATACATCTTATGCTACCATGGTTTATTTGAGAATTTCTCAAAAACACTCCAAAGTTTAATCACCACATTGATGCCAGTTCAGGAAAGTTGTCAGATTCTCATCCATTTTGCAGAAGTTTCTTTTTGTGCAAAGAAGAATGAGGCATCTGTTTATTATCATAACAGACGTTCTTTAAACTTTCAAACAGTCACCACATTTACTTTTAAGATACTTAGAACTGCATTAAACCATTTTCAACTATGGGAGCCTAATTCTAAAACACAGCTTGCTTATTTGCTCTTAAACACACGCACACACGCAGTGGTATTGGGGAAAACAGGCAGAGGACCAATGCGGGCTACCACAGCTTGAGACAGATGTCCCTAGGGATACAAGATAGAGACGAGCTGAAAAGAAGAAGAAGAAAAAAAGAGCTCCTACAGTGGAACATGTGCTCCAGATGCTTGTGCTACTCCACCAAGAATCCAGCTTAATGTAGGGCCTTTTCCTGGCCCCTCCCTAGAGAGAACTTCTGTCTAACCACCAATGGCCCTCTCCAGATGCTTGGAAGAGAACAGTGTGAGCACAATGGGTGCCAGAGAGACGATGGGGAAACATACTTGAAAGAAAAACATCTTTGGGGGGATTTAGTGTAAGAAGGATGGGGTACTCAAATGCAAGGAGGGCATAATGATATTGCACAAATACGGTGCAACCATCTCCAGTCATGGGTGAGGATAAACAGGAAGTGCAGATGAATATTCATAGGTAATTATTTGGATGAATGGATAACTGAGGAGGTGGGTGCTTGGATGGATGAATGCAAGGACAGACAGACTCACCAGGTCTTCCTTTCCGGTCCAGAGTGGCCTTGCTGGCGTTCACAGAGCAATAGAGAAATCCATCCATAAAAGAAGGAACATCAGCCGGAAAACTGCTGTCACATAATGCTTCCAGCTTAGGAAAATCTATAGAGAGAGAGAAAAGAGGGGGGAAAACAGAGAGATTAAAAAGAAAATGGAGAACAGCTGATTAGGAGTAATCCTATAATTTGGTGAGGAGGAGAAATGTTGTTTATATGGGGATCAGTCGCAAATGCAGCTCACTATTCCTGCTGTTTTCAAGTGAAATTCTGAGTTTTTAACAACTATTTACCTCAGAAGCTTCTTGATAACCAGTCAGTCTTCATGCAAGGTGTCAATCAGCTTGTAACAGCTAAATTTCATCCATTTCTCATTGTCCAATGTTATTTGTTTAGAAGGCTTGTAAAACTTCCATCCAAACATAGAAGCTCAAGGTTAGAAGATTTGACTCTGATCCCCTCGTTCCGCTCTACCTCTTCATCTGCTCTCCCTATTTGCCTCCTTCACTTTAAAGGAGCAGTAGGAGATCTTGGAAAATGCTAACTTTAGCCTGATAGCACTGAAAGCGAACATCCCACCCTCCCTGCAATCACTGTCCAAAGCCACGCCCCCTGAACGCATTTACGCTCACAGACTAGAATATCAGAGACAAGATTACTACAATAGACTACATCAGCGGTTCCTAATTCCAGCCCATGTTCCGAAGTGAAGTAAACTTCAACGGATTTCCCCTGCTCAGGGAGGAGGGAGCAATTAACAATGTGGAGGGATCATATCGATCGGAACACAGTTCATGCACGTAGCTCAGTTATAACGAGCTGGTTATCTGAATCGCGAGGACTGGAATTGGGAACGGCTGGGCTACATCATGTGTCATTCACCGGTGAGAAAACTTTAAAAGTACTACAATACCAGAAAGGAAGATCGGGTTATTGATGTTTGTCTGCCATTCTCGCTCTGTCTGCACAGCGTGGGTGAACGCGCTAATGACGTATCCTGTCTGCGCAGAGGTATGCAGATACATACATTGACAGGCAGGTAGGAAAGCCAATTAAAACGCTCGGACCGAGCGTTTTGATTGGACGAACATTTCTTGGTCCTACGCCTTCCACAGAATATATAAATACAAATAAATACATTTAGACCACTTAACTTAATGATTGCTATCGGGATGTGAAGAGACTTTCAACCATCATAACAAAAAATGTTTCTGAAGACAATCACCTATTGCACCTTTAACTCCTTTTTTCTGCCTACTACCTTATCACATTTTGATTTAATTAGCTACTATGCTCGGTTTTAATTTTCTTCGGGAAGGCCGGCAGTACCAATGAGATTTTAATCACACACTTCCAGTTGCCAGCATGGAAAAAGTTCAAATAACTTTCATTGAAAAGATCTTTCCATCCATCCATCCATCTCTTCCTTACAGCTACAGATACTTCTCAGTTCAAACGAGAAGGATTAAAAGTGATAATGAGATGGAGGGAAGTCCAATTTGGCGATTTCCGCACATGTGCCGCAAACATGCAAATTGAGAACCTGCATCAGTAATATATTCAAATGTATGCATATGTGTATTTTTCCATTAGACTGTAGTAATCCAAAAGAAACCTGCCTACTACCTTATCACATTTTGATTTAATTAGCTACTATGCTCGGTTTTAATTTTCTTCGGGAAGGCCAGCAGTACCAATGAGATTTTAATCACACACTTCCAGTTGCCAGCATGGAAAAAGTTCAAATAACTTTCATTGAAAAGATCTTTCCATCCATCCATCCATCTCTTCCTTACAGCTACAGATACTTCTCAGTTCAAACGAGAAGGATTAAAAGTGATAATGAGATGGAGGGAAGTCCAATTTGGCGATTTCCGCACATGTGCCGCAAACATGCAAATTGAGAACCTGCATCAGTAATATATTCAAATGTATGCATATGTGTATTTTTCCATTAGACTGTAGTAATCCAAAAGAAACAATGGAACTTGTTGCAAGTTGAATGTGTGTGTATGTGTGTAAGATGATGACTGAATTATCTGACTGCGAATCACATTTGCAAGCCATTAAGTTAATGAGGCCATAGCTCCACACAGATTTAGAGGTTACACAAATGTTGTCCTGCTGTTGTTACAGTGTTAGTAAGCTTAACAAAACATTGGCAGAACACTGTAAAACATTTGTGCCTGTGCTGACTGGAGGATATCTTAATTAGGATCATTGGCACACTTTCAGTAAAGGCCCCAAATGAGCAATGTAATGACACATACACAGTCTACAGCTAATTATAGACATGTTCAGGGGCAATGCCTTCTTGAGTTAAGGATTTGAGTGTGTATTAAAGTCCTCCATTAGCCTGTGAGAAATGCCAATTGTGATGAAAATCTGACTTTGAGTACCAGTTAGACATCACCAATCAATACAGGTAGAGTGTATTAAAATTAAAAACAGGAAAACAGTAAAACTATCCATGCCATTTATGATCTACACTGCTGTTTAAAATTTGGGGTCAGCAAGATTTTTTTTTTCATATTAAAGTACTTAAATTAATACTTTTATTCAGCAAAGAATATCTATTGTAAATAATATCTATTGCTGTCCTTTTGAACTTTTTATTCATCAAAGAATACTGAAAAAATGTTTCCATCATGGTGTCCAAACAAATATTAAGCAGCACAACTGTTTTCAACATTGCTGCTGAAAATTCAGTTTTGCCATCACAGAAATAAATTACAGTTTAAAATACACTAATAAAGAAAACTGTTATTTGAAATTGTAATAATGTTTCACAATATTACCGTTTTACTGTATTTTTCATCAAATAAATGATGCCTTGGTGAGCATAAGTCTCTTCAAAAGCATAAAAAAAATCATACTGGTCCCAAACTTTTCAACAGTAGTGTATGTCTTCTCAATATCTGCATTGACTATAGGTTTTACACACAGCAGTTCTTTCATGCATATTTGATAACATGTACACTTCTGGTACAACTTTATCCCTATTCCTTCAAAAAGCTGCCAATGCTGGTTGAAAGAAGTCTCTTACGTTCACCAAGCCTGCATAGATTTGATCAAAAATACTGTAAAAACAGTAATATTGTGAAATACCATTACAACTTAAAATCAATTTTAATTTTAATATATTTTAAAATGTAACTTAATTCTGTGATGGCAAAGCTGAATTTTAAGCATCCATTACTCCAGTCTTCAGTGTCACAGGATCCTTCAGAAATTCTGAAATGCTGCTTAATCTTTGTGGAAACAGTGATACATTTTTTTCTGAATTCTTTGATGAATAGAGAGTTCAAAAGAACAATGTATTTGAAAAAAAAAATACTTTTACTGTTACTTTTGCTAAATTTAAAGTCTGTGATGAATAAAAGTAGTCATTTCTCTCAAAAAACTCAAACTTTTGAACAGTAGTGTACAGGTGCATCTCAAATTAGAATGTCGTGGAAAAGTTCATTTATTACAGTAATTCAACTCAAATTGTGAAACTCGTGTATTAAATAAATTAAATGCACACAGACTGAAGTAGTTTAAGTCTTTGGTTATTTTAATTGTGATGATTTTGGCTCACATTTAACAAAAACCCACCAATTCACTATCTCAACAAATTAGAATACTTCATAAGACCAATAAAAAAAACATTTTTAGTGAACTGTTGGCCTTCTGGAAAGTATGTTCATTTACTGTACATGTACTCAATACTTGGTAGGGGCTCCTTTTGCTTTAAGTACTGCCTCAATTCGGCGTGGCATGGAGGTGATCAGTTTGTGGCACTGCTGAGGTGGTATGGAAGCCCAGGTTTCTTTGAAAGTGGCCTTCAGCTCATCTGCATTTTTTGGTCTCTTGTTTCTCATTTTCCTCTTGACAATACCCCATAGATTCTCTATGGGGTTCAGGTCTGGTGAGTTTGCTGGCCAGTCAAGCACACCAACACCATGGTCATTTAACCAACTTTAGGTGCTTTCGGACAGCACATGATGAATTAACTAACAACATTGTCAAAGTACCACTCCTTTTGCAGCTACAGAAAAAACTAATATTTGTGGCATGCAGCTTTACTTGGAATCTTGGTACGGAATAACAGGAATGACAGGAAGCGGGGAATCCACAGAAAGAATCCAGTCAGTCCAATTAAAAAGAGATAGAGGGGGAAAGAGTCAATAAATACAATAGTGTGTGTCTCTGAGAGAGCGAGAGAGAGAGAGTGATGGCAGGAGTAATTCAATCGAACACTGCTTTCATCTAAAACAGCCAGCAAGGCTATCGATCCTCCTCAAACAAGCTAGATCCGCTGGAGAACAAGGACACTGAGACAGTAAACCACACACATACACATATACATACTCCAATACATACCTGCCACTACCAAGTACAGAAGAATCAAAACATCTCAGACTACCAGTGAAAATTATTTTAGAATTTCAAATGATTTTCTTAATTTTTTCTTTTTAAAAAAAAGTTTTTTTTTTTTTAATTATTTTTAGAAATTATTAAAGCAAAGATGCATTAAATTGATCTTTCAAATTGTTACAAAAATCTATTACAAATAAATGCTGTTCTTTTGAATGATTCATTGAAGAATCCTGAAAAATATGTATCATGGTTTCCACAAAAATATTAAGCAGCACAACTGTTTTAACACTGATAATTCCTTGAGCTCCAAATCAGCAGAGTGATTTCTGAAGGATCATGTGACACTGAGAACTGGAATAATGGCTGCTGAAAATAAATTAAATTTTAAAATATAATAAAATACAAAACTTTTTTGTTATAATAATGTCACAATATCACTGTTTACTGCATTTTTCATGATAAATGCAGCCTTGGTGAGCATAAGAGACTTAAACATTTTTTTAAAAATCTTATCAACCCCAAACGTTTGGTTGGAAGAGTATGTTATTAGCATTACAATTTGAGTAAAAACCTGAACTGGAAATAAATAAACAAATATCAGAATATTTAAGTATTTTGGTTTGCCTCTTTTTTTAATGATAGCAACACTTCACATGCTTTAACTCCTTACGTTTTGTGTCAACCTGATGATCATAGTCTCCAGCATTATATGAGATGTATGTACAAATAGTCACATGATCAGTGACACTTATTTATTTACTTGATGACAATACTACATTTAGACAAATAAAGTTCATTTTATATTTTATTCTATTTTTACATTTTAAAAACCCCAAGGTTAGTGAGTGTGAGTGTGCGTGTGTGTACATGTTCTCTAGGACACATTTGTTGAAGAGACTTTCTGGAGGTCACTGATTCTAATTGGAGTTGTGGACTATAATTCAGATAAAGACACACACACACACACACACATCCATACTCTATATAATCAAACAAATACAACAATGATAATTATGCCACTGATGGCTAAGACTGAAATAAAATTCAGCAGCCATTAATGTAGTCTTCAGTGTCACATGGTCCTTCACAAATCATTTTTGGAGCACCAGATTTGGTGCTCAAAAAAACATTTCTTATTATTATTGAAAAACAGTTGTGCTGCTTAATATTTAAGCAGCATACATTTTTACAGCAGTCTTTAATGAATAGAAAGTTCAAAAGAACGGCATTTATTTTATACAGATTTTTCTCTTTTTTATAACATTATAAATGTCTTTACTGTCACTTTTGATCATATGTGTGTGTGATGCCATTAAGATGCCTTCTTTATGAGATGCCATTAAGATCTGCAAAAGCTCACAGTTGAATGGACACACATAAACATCCATTTGTTTTCTATCATGGTGGGTACTCCCATCACACTGAGCAAATTATCATTTCTATTTGCTAAATCTGACCTTCACACAAACCTTTCTGCATATAAACATATTTATTTTCACATAAATCTTCATGCTTATTAAGCAGTTACTTTACTTTGGCTGGTCCCAACGATGCAGGCACTTTCAGGTTTTACTTTTACAAAGAACTTCTTCTGAACTGTTGTTATATCTCATAAACTCAAAACCACTGCCTGCCAGGCTGACTACTGCTTCAGGTAGAAAGTATCAGGTAGAAACTTCAGGCTGAACGAAAGTATCAGACAAGAGCTAAAATGAAAACTTAAAGACATATATCACATCAGGGCTTAAACAAAAACTTTGAGAACAGGGAGGATTTTTCTGGAACTTTTTGTTTGTGTCTGTCACAGACGCACCCTTCCATTTATAATCTAATCTCACCTCTGTATGTACCTGCAATGTATTCTTTATCTTCTTCTCACTCTCTTTGTCTCTCTCTGACACACACACACAATCATATAACTTTTTTCAGAAGAACCCCTGAAAACTCCCCAGTGCTGCTCTCATCTCACATACACCTAATCCACAGTTCCAATCCTCTCTCCCCTTCTGTTCCCTCTCTTTTGCCCCCTCTCCAGAAAACAAAAGCAGGCTTGATCTGTGTTAGTGCTGACGGGGAGGAAAAACAGCATCTTTTGGCTTAGGAAAGAGTAATGCGGACAAACTCAGTAGGAACAATCAAAACACACACACACACACATACACACAAAAATACTGAATAATTATGAATTATGCACAAGAAACCTTGTTAACTCATAACACATCCAATTATCATCTGTTTAATTTCTTTAACATCCTGTCAAAAAAAATGTGTTTTCCAACTATAACTTTATAGCACTTTGATTGTAGTTATTTAATGCTATGCAAAAAGAAAGCAGAATCTTAGCATAGTTTTATAACCCTGGCAACCTGCTCTGACAATCGGAGAAAGCCAGTTACCATGGTAACCCTAATTTACACCTGGGCTATCAGGTGAGCCACAGCAGCAACAGATGTATATATATACACACACACACACACAGCCGCCAACATCTCAAGGCCTAATGGGCCTTTTAATGAGGTCGAAAAAAATAGCACTAATCCAAAGGCCAACGTTAGCACACAGAGTCTCTCTCTCACACACACACACACACACACACACACACACACACACACACACACACACACACACACACACACACCTTGTTGAGTTCCTCTTGAGTGTTTAGACCTTCTAGAACTTTCTTGTACTTCCTCTTATTGTACTTCCTGCGGATAAAGGATGCACGCTGCTCTGGCGATGGCTGCTTGCAAAGCTTATCCTCTGGGGGAAGATTTGCTTCCCAGAAGCTGTTGGAATTTGTATTCCCAACATCTAAAAACAGCTAAAGAGAGGGACAGAACGTGAGGACAATATACTTCACTTAAAAGGTAATATCACCCAAAAATGAAAATTCTGCCATCATACCCTCAAGTCATTCTAAACTCAGACTTTTGTTCATCTTCCGATATTTTTAATGAAACCATTTCATCCCTTTATTGCCTCCATGGAGTGGACTTTCAATGAAGGGAAATAAGTCTCTCAGATTTCATTACAAATATTTTCCTTTGTGTTTCAAAGATAAGCAAGAGCCATAATGGTTCGGAATGACATCAGGGTGGGTAAATATAAATCTATAGATTTATAAAATCAATATGTAAGTAGTGACTACCACAACAGATCGGTACCTCAATGAGCTCGTTGGTCCATATGCTGCTGTCTAGCTTCATACTGCGGACCTTTGAGATACCAGGACCCAGGAATCGATGCTGACCTGGAAACAGATACTGATCTGAACTATTCACATCTAAAACAGACAATGTAAACTTCACATATACAGATGTTAAAACTTCCTGTTAACTGAAAGTGTCCTGCTTAACCTCAAAACTAAGCACAACTTCACACTAAATGGTATAAAGCAACAACTCATATGACACACATACAGACAGAGTCACACACTCATTATTAATTTCATCATATCCTTTTCAGGCACTCTTTTCTCCAGCCTGCCACAGCTATAATTGCAAATGAAAGGCGCGAAAAAGCCATTAATTGCTAATGAATCATAAGTAATTAATTGTGTTTGTTGGTCTGCGCATTTATTTCGCTGAACTCCAGGCACCGTAGTACTTGTTTATGCGAGAAACAGATGAATTAAACATGGCAGGGAGAAACACATATTCGAATATGGATTGTGTGATTTTCCTGCATAATTAGCAGCATTTAAAAGTACCAGTTTGCCATCAAAGATCATTAGAGCCACCTGAGAGCCGATGGGACTAAAGATGCTTTGTGTGCGTGTTAGTGTGTGTACTTTAAGGGCACTCGTTAAAGGTTTTGTAGTGCCATCTAAGAAAACTTCTAAGACAGGAAAGTACCTTAAACACAGTGTTTGCTTCAGTGAAACTTTATTTAAAGCATCAAAAGAGAACAAAAACCATCAGAAAGGTGGAGAAATTTCTTTTGTTACCTTATTTGAAACTATTAAAAGAAAGAGTGAAAAATGTGCATACCAGGAGTTTCTATGGCAACCACAGCCTCACTTGAGGAATGTCTCCAATCACAGAGTTCGATTTAAAGAGCTTATTGCAATTACATGCGTAAAGAAACAGACAAACCCGAATATATGTCACACAGCCAGGGATGCTGATTGATATCAAAGTGTGTTAAAAGATGAGAGGTGGGGTAGAAAGAGAAAGAAAAAAAAAAACAAGTGGGAAAGTTAGATAAGTATTATGAATGTGAATATGGATCGTGAGAAAGAGGAAATAACTTTACCTGTCTCTCTCTTTCACACGCTCTCCGTCTCCCACCGAAGACAATTTGCTCTCATTTAATCGTTAGCTGTTCGTTATATTCCCAGTATTTTGCTCTCGCTCTCCTAATTGTCAGCTGCAGAAGCGCAGCTAATTAAAGTGTCTGTGACATAGATTCCATGAAGGCTGCGGTGCACATTCTGAGAAAGTGTCTCCCTACTCGATGGCTCACTCAGCAGCCATTTGCACACGCTCAGCCAGTGGTTCCTCCTGTATTGTGACCTAATGTAACATTAAATGACTGCATAACTGAAATAATGAGTTAATTTATGGCGTCAGAGCAGAGGGTTGTCAGAATAATCTAAGCAACAACAATATCGGGAAAAAGAGCAGAGGAAGAGAGAAGAGATGGAGTAAGATGTGTGTGTGTGTGTGTGTGTGTGTGTGTGTGAGTGAGTGTGAGTGAGTGAGTACGGTACCTTACTATACTGAGTGAAATAGAGGAAGGGGAGAGAAAGAGAAAAAAGATGGCTATGAAGAACATTTACTCTGTATCTCTAAAGTACAAATAAAAACACGTTTCAGTTTTAGTTTCCTAAAAACACGTGTTGTGTCAAGTTCTCAACGTCAAGCAATTAGTCTGTCCATGCTGAACTGTGGTGTAACATGACACAATCACAGTCACTGAGAAGATATTTCATATTTAATGTCCATTTGCCGTGGAAAGTTTTTCAGGTGTCAATAAGATTTTTTTAATTTGTTGATCACCAAGGCTGCATTTATTTATGGAAAAATTCAGCAAAAACAGTATTATTATGAAATATTATTAAGAATTAAAATAGATATTTTCTATTTTAATATATTTTGAAATGCAATTTATTACTGGGATGGCAAAGCTGAGTTTTAAGCAGTCATTATCTTCTTTTGAAAATTTAAATATATTTGTTAACAACATAACTTCACTTGATTAACTTAATGAGTCTTTGCTTAATAAAACTTAATTTCTTTCAAAAAAAAATCATACTCATCCTAAACTTCATCAGTAGTGCATGTGGAGTGAAATTTTGAACCAATTTACACAGAAGACACAGGAACCAAGTGAACTTGTATCGCTTGATGCTTTAAGGTGTGTGGTAAAGACATTGCGTGTTTCGTGTTTCATGTTCCATTCCTGTTGTGTTCGTTCTTGATCTGCTCTTTGTGTTCATAATTGTTTCTTACCTGCACAATTCTTGCAGATGACCACACACAGGTTGATAGAGGCCCATTCCGGCTCAGGAGCCTGACAATCGGCGCACTTCCTGTTGGACTTGTTGAACCAAACCTTCTCAAGCACCTCATAATTGCACAATGTCTCTACGATGGACTCTTGAACTGCCTCTATCCATTCCTCTCTCTCACGCTCCGACTCCACTGTGAAACTGACACAAATAACACAAAACTCTTACATACATTTTCAAGTATCAAGTAGGTGATTTAAATAAAGGCACTCGCTCTGCTTTTTAAAGCATTATTGACTCTGATTAGCTTTTAATGTTTTCACCATTCATCAGCTAAAAAAATTGTTCTGAAAGTGATTCCAATAATATCATTCCTCTGTGCCTTTATTGTAATAGCGGTGGTGTAGACTCTGCTATTACTTTAAATTTAGAATTTTTTTATTTATTTTTTTAAGACATCTTTATTGTTATAGTGATTGCCCTTGGTGTGAACGGCCCTGAAGGGGTGGGTGGTCACATTCACCATTGTTTGGCAAATTTCCATGGGCAAAATCCAAATCAAGAATTTCATATGAAGGTGAAAGATTGCCCCACACAGATTTGACACATTTCGCTGCTTGGTTTAAAAGCGACTTCTGTATGAGCAGGGCTTTATATATCGCTACACTATTGACAATAGAAAGACATTTTGTTAATGTTACAGCACCTTTTATGCACTGACATTAAAGGTACATCTCCCTGCATGACTTTCTTCTGTGGAACACAAAAAGAGAAATTCTTAAGACTGTCACTCTTGGTCACTCTTTCTCATGTACTACAATAAATGGAGACTAAAGATTTTATAAAAAGTATCATAAAAATAATCATTAAATTTTGTTCACAAGTTCTGCAATGGTTACAGCTCACTGAAGGGAAATTACATGACTTCAGAAGACTTGGAATACAGCACATAAATAATATTGACTATTTATGACACTTTTATGGTGCTGCTTTGTCTTTTTTGAAGCTTGAAAGCTTCAGTTCCCTTTCATTGGGATTGCATGGAAAAGAGCAATTAACACATTTTTCATAATTTCTTCTTTTGTCTTCTATGACAGCAAGATAGTCATAAAGGTTTGGAATGATATGAGGATGAGTAAATGAATGACAGAATCCACATTTTTAGGTAAACTGTCCCTTTAAGTTGAAGCCTAAATCGGGTACTGTCAAATTTTAAGACAGGGCCTGAAATCCTTCACCATCAGTTCGCTAAGCCCTGACTCAAATATAAGGAGTCTGTCTGTCTGTCTGTCTCTCTGTGTGTGTGTGTGTGTGTGTGTGTGTGTGTGAAGAAAATATGTTGTGTTAAACATAAAACATAAAATATTTATAAATATTTGTTTTATAATTAAAAACAAACCCAAAACTAGACACAAACTTAAAGTTCTATTTGGTTAAGTTCATCCTGACCTAAAACCAAACAGTTTGAGTCCCACTGGGCCCAGGTCAAGTAGCAGACATATAACAATGGCAAACACAAGTTCAGTTTAAATGTAAAACCAGTAAAAGCTCTGAATCTGCCTTTCATTTCCATTATGACCCCCTCTGTGCCCATTATTTTAAATGAGCACAGAGACCTTGATATGTAATTTCTTTGAAAAATTCAAATTATTTTGCCAACAACTAATACTAAATAGTCGGCCAGCCTCATATCACTCAACGTTCAGAACGCAACTACAAACAGATCAATATTCTGTCCTGTGCACAAAAACAAAGCTAAGAGATAAAGAGGAAAAATCTTTAACAATGCGCACCAGCCAATGAAAGAAAGCGATAGCTTTTCATTGTTTGTTGTTATTGGTGTCTTTTTTTAGCAGGGGAACTACATCAGTCATAAAAGGATCATTAAAAAACAAACACGAAAACATCTCATCGATTAGGCCTCTGCAAATGGCTGCTTTGTTTGAAACATCAGCTTGTGTGGGGTCACAGGTGAGCGATGCCTGTACTGTACAGCCATTATAACAAAGCTGATATTTATAAAGAAAAAAAAAAGAATGAGAAGAGGGGAAAAAAACAGATCAATAATGAGTGTGCTTCATATAGATAGTATCAGAGTGGCAGGACAGTCATAATGAGAGAGTGGCTGCTAGAAAATAACACAGCAGGCAACAAACTCTGAAAAATTATACTAAAAAGGCTCAAAAAGGAGAAATTGATGGAGTTTCCTCTGCCTTTAATAAATCTCACACCGTCCAGCTATGCAAGCACTCAATGTCATTATACACAGGTAGAAAAGTTTCAACTGCTTGACACTAATCTTTTTGCAAAGTTCAGCCGTTTAATCCATATTCCATTGTAGTTGGTGCAATCACTTATACTAAGAGGTAAAACTCCTAAGTAAGAATGCCTTGATAAATGAACCAAGACAAAAGTTTCACATTTCCTGAAATGTTACAAACTAGGTAGTGAATGTAATAGTAAGTAGAAATGTTTTTGTTTACTCACTTCATGTTTGGTTAAAACAATTCAAGTACAATTCCAGTTACAGTTGCGAGAAAAGTTATGAATACTTTATATTCTATAAATCTGGAATTTTGTAGTAATGGTTCAGAAACAGTTATTTCTATAATGGTGCAAATGCAAACATACACTAGAGCCCTGCACGGGACTATTTTCTTAATCCTGCTCCCGCTGAATTTCTGTCGACCATTACCGCCCGTTCCCACAACGTGTGTGTGTTCCACTCCAGCCTGCTCACACAATTTTTGTGTCCATTCCCGCCCGCTCCCAAACATTCTAATACTGTATACGATTTCCGTGCATCAGGGAGCCTTATCAATATGCGGGGTATTGAAATCGCTCTTGAATGAGCTCTCGCTGTTCACTTTAACTTTCAATTTTGCGATCACATGCACTCAGCAGCTTGTGGTAAAAAACCTTTGAGCTGTGTTTATTGATCAATGTGCAGAACAGTGAATGTAAATATGTATTATAGGTATGGAAATAACATATTTTGAGTTTTGATATTTGAGATATGGTAATTGAGCTACTCTGGGCTGTTTTTGACTGGCATGGGCAAATTTCGTCACGCAGACCTGGCAACCCTGTCTGTATAAAGCAGAGCAGACCCTTTCAGTTAAGAATTGTAGCATACGTTTTCCAGCTAACGACAGTGGGGTGGTGACACGGTGGGAAAGTAATGTAATCGGTGTACGACCAAACCGTGTAACACTACCGCAGCAAGCCTAGTGTTTATGCAACACATTCTTGTTATGTGCCAAATCGCGGGATCCATGCAATATTTTTTTGACTGCCCACTCCCACCCCCAGCAAAGGTAAAACCACCTGCTCCCGCAAGATTTGTGTTGGGTCCCATGGGACCCGCGGGATCCCAATCCTAATGCAGCCTTCTAACATTCTCTCACCAGCCACTTTATAAGGTACGCCTGTTCAACTGCTTGTTAATGCAAATATATAATCAGCCAATTACATGGCAGCAACTCAATGCATTTAGGCATGTAGACATAATCAAGACGATCAGCTAAAGTTCAAACCGAGCATCAGAATGAGGAAGAAAGGTGATTCAAGTGATTTTGACCGTGGCAATGTTTGTTGGTGCCAGACAAGCTGGTCTGAGCACTGTATTTCAGAAGCTGCTGATCTGCTGGGATTTTCATGCACAACCACATGCATGTTTACAGAGAATAGTCAGAAAAAGAAAGAATATCAAGTGAGCAGCAGCTCTGTGGGTGAAAATGCCTTGTTGGTACCAAAGGTTAGAGAATGACTAGACTGGTTCAAGCTGATAGAGGGGCAACAGTAACTCAAATAACCACTTCTTTACAACCGAAGTATGCAGAAAAGCATCTCTGAAAGCACAACACTTCGAACCTTGAAGCAGATAGACTACACAAGCAGAAGACCACATCGAGTGCTACTCCTCTAAACTCAAACATGTTTCTTAAACATGGCAAGGAGTTCACTATACTCAAATGGCCTACGCAGTCACCCAATCCAACAGAGCACCTTTAGGACTAGGTGGAAAGGGAGTAACACATAATGGATGTGCAGCCAACAAATCTGTGTGAAGCTATCATCGTCAATATGGAAGGCAACGGGGGTCCAACCTAGTACTATCAAGATGTAGCTAACAAAGTGGTCGGTTTTAGGATGTGATTAATATGATAATTTTTTTAACCAATAGACATCTCTCACTTGTGATTTAAAAAGTAAATACATATCCAAACAATACATTAAATAAGTTGCTTTACTTTTTAAGTCACTTGGAATTCACTGGTGCCTAAATAAGTTTCAGGCCCCGAAGCAGAAAAGCTTCATAATATTATATACCCTCCAGCATAGTTTAACTTTCGAATGAGATTTTGGAGTAAATACAGCCATTTGTTTTCTACAAGCAACACATTTTATATTATTTGTATGTTGTTTAAGGACTCTTCAGCACATTCTTGAATTTAGGATTGTAGGACGCCCTCTCCTAGGGAATGTAGAAATGGGGCAGATTTTTATCCAGGAGTAAACTGCCTGACTCTGGATTATGGGGGCCCAAAACATCCTTTCAAAATTTTTCCCAGAGTTATAAGTATCTCTGAAATCCCTTTTGCACTTGAATACAATGCAGTTGTGAAGAGCAGATCAACAAAAGTTTTTAAAATGGCAGAATAGGTAAATCCCACACTGGAACAGCAATTACCTTCTTTTCAGAACTCACTGATCTTTGAGGTTTGCATTTTATCTACAGTGTTGGGAAGGTTACATTGGAAATGTAATAGGTTACAGGTTACAAGTTGCCATATTTAAAATGTAATAAGTAGTGTAACTAGTTCAATTACTTCATTAAAGTAATGTAACTGGTTATATTCGATTACTTTTTGATTACTTTTCTAAAATTCTATTGATTGTTTTCAAATGTTAATCATTTTGAAACATTTAAAGCAGGCAGGGTTAACTTTACAGTAGTACTCAACACTCATTGATGTCAAAATCCTTCATCATTTGAATTGATTATAATAATTTATTTTTAAAGCACATCCATCACAAAAGCACCTCTTTTTATTTTGAGATCGTTCTGAGGTTAAATATAGATTTAAAACCATAACAAGAAATAGTTTAATAGCTATGATACTATTTTTGAAATCAAATCTTTGCATAGCTATGACAGGATGTGTGTGTACATTTTCATAAGTAAAAATTACACATTTTTTTCTCAGTAACTGTAACTGATTACGGTTACATTTATTTTGTTACATTAAATTCCATTACATGTAACTAGTTACTCTCCAACACTGATTATCAATTGTCACTTATTTCAAATTCTTACAGTATGACTATGCTCCAAACAATAGTGAGTTTTCTTGCTGTCTAATGTCTACACAGGCGCGCGCGCACACACACACACACACACACACACACACACACACACACACTTGAGGGACTTAACTAATGCTCACAGTTGATTCCAACATCATCACAGTACACACAAATGGGATTGAAATGTCCCTTATATTAGACAGATTTTTTAAAATAGAGAAAGAATTAAATAAAATACATTTATAATTAACATATCATTTGGCTAGATGATAAAATGCTGTCAAGGTAAGCTGCACACTCTGGTTTTAAAAAGTCTATATGATATTATGCAAGCAAAAATGCAATTTTTATTAGAAGTAAATTTTCTAAATAACTATTCTGCAAATGAAAGCATTTGAAATAATAACATGTTTATGTAATCAGAATGTGTATTTGAAATTTAGAGCATCTCTGAACTCATAGTCTGGAGGCATTTGGGTAAATAAATTATTATTTACACTAAGAAAACGTAATCTTCCAAGTCTGACCTTGAGTGAAACTTAAAATAATTAAGTAAAGCATAAATTGTGTTAAGAAAGTCCAGGTAAGAAGCTTAACTCTGTTTGAAGGTCACCTGAAATCTGTCTAAAACAACATCTACCAGGTAATATTTTATATTGATGAGAGATTTTCTTTCTTTTTTTCTTTTTCTTTCTTGTTTTTCCTGGCCTTATGGTAATATACAGTATATAATACTTTAGCAGTTTACCAGAAGGATTTGAAAGGTGTAGTGATCTCAAATCCTTTCCTCTCAACTTGTTTCACACACGCAGCCGTCAGGTCCACCACAGTGATGGCCAGCCCTGCATTAAAGTCCTGTGAAGAACCAGCATAAACAGCAAAACACTCAGTTTTTCATATCCACTTTTTAAAATTCCAACATCAGGAACTGAAATAAAGAAATTAACATAGTAGAGTAAATGAAGCAGATCAGTTACTGCTATGACAATGGACCAAAGCATTCACAATCAAACATTCTGTGTGTCTGTTTAGAACATTGTAGCTGGAGTGAATCAAGTGAATAAGGAATAAAATATGCTAACTATAAAAATCTTACAAATGCAATTAAACAATAATGTGAGAAGGGTCTAAGGGCGCACAGAAGAGACACTGAGCTTAATGGAGGGTGAACACCTGCTGATCCATGGATCAAAGTCTGAATGAATGAAGTTTATTCCACACAAGAACAAGCAGAAAATACACAACAAAATGTATTTACAGACTTTACCAAATACTTCAAGGGAAATGGCAATATGAAAACCTCTCAGAGGAACAAGGGATGATTCTGAGAGGAAAGGATAGGGTACAAGAAAAAAGGAGGTGACAACAGTCAAAAGCTACTGTATCATCCCTTTCAAGACACTATTTATTAGGGATGTAATGGTACACATATTCATATCGAAAATTTTTGGTATGGGTCTTTTGGTTTGGTATGCATGTGTACCAAACAAATACAGCATTGTTTTAACCACGAGTGGAACTTCATTGGAAACTTCCCAGTTTTATATATCGTTTCTTTTGATAACAAAGTCTCATCTTTCAAATTATGTCCTTTTTTCTTTACCTCAATGCAAGTTATTAATGTCCACAGCTCATTATTTCACGAGAGACTTTATAATCATTATATTTTACTAACCTGTTAGTGATGTCTTAATTATTTAATGTATGCTTAAATAAATCTGTTATGAAACAAGTTAAGAGAGCCACTGTGTAAATGATTATATTTCAACAAAAAATAAAATGTTTATAATTTAAAAGTTCATTTAAAAACTGCAGTGTTGATTATTATATTTAAAAATAAATAGTAATTAAATTTAAGTTTGGGCTCTGTTTTTAATTGTAACCTTATAATGATTTAGAGCATAAACTTAGGTAGATTTTTATCCCTAAGAAATTTGTAATTATAATAAAATTTATGTAAAGAAATAGCATTTGTTTCAGTAAACCACTGTTTAATTAAAAAAGAAGCAATTTTATGTTTAGTTTTCCCCCTGCTGTACCGAAACCGTACCAAACCATGACGCCAAAACCGAGGTACGTACCGAACCGTCATGTTTGTGTACCATTACACCCCTTATACAAGTATGTTGTGAACGTGTAGGTAGCCCTTTTTATTTATTTAAATCCTATGCCACTTCGAGACATGATCAAAGAAAAAATGGCAACAATAACTATATTAGTGTCCAAACTAATGGATGATAACAGCATTGCACAAGCTGTAGTGTTGCAGCCAGTTATTTTACTTTGAAAATGTGCATTCCATGTCGGAATGCCTGTTTTTGTTTTGGTCTGTTTGATTCCGACCACTGCCAGTTTACCCAGTAATATTAGTGTCCACACTAATGGATGATAACAGCGTTGCACAAGCTGTAGTGCTGTCAGGTTGCCGTTTTAAAGGTACTGTATGTATTTTTTTGACTGTACTGAAGCATAAAAACACCATAATACATTTGCTGATATTCAGGAAACATGCTTCAAGTTCAGATACTTGTTTCTCCAAAAACAACATGCTACAGCCAGTTATTTTACTTTGAAAATGTGCATTCCATGTCGGAATGTCTGTTTTTGTTTCGGTCGGTGTTATTCCGCCCACTGCCAGTTTACCCAATAATATTCCGAAAGCCAAAATTGCCAGTTTGCCAAAACCAGCATACTGCAGCCATGGAAGCAAGCAAACAAACCGGGTCAAAAATTGCAGATTCTACCTGACCTAAAAAGTCTCGGCATCCATGTAAAAAGCTCTATGACCACTACAGGCATATTAAAACACGTATAAATCAACTCATCAGTTTATAGTGTAGGTTCATCGCCTTCCATTGTCAGTTGCACTCGTTCGTGTTGCGTGTCCTCTATCTGATAACCCTTGTGGGTGTTGCGTCTGAGGAGGAGGGGGCGTGAGAAAATGTCTTGGGTTACACATGCAACCATGGTTCCCCCGAGAAGGGAACGAGACACTGCATCCTCTAGCAGTCGCTATGGGGAACGCCTTCAGTGTGACCAGTGTCTGAAGCAAATTTCTAAACACGACAATGTAAGGAATTTAACTATTTTATTTTAGCTCTTTTCAGAGGGGGAATCGAATCGAAGATTCAAAATCAACCTGATTGAACTGATTCCAAAATTGATAGTTTACACTTTATCTACCGTTCGTCCAGCGAGATGTTAACATTAGTATATCTTACCAATTTTAATATTTGTACTATCCCTGGCGAAAGGTTAATACATGCTTGTGATAATTTATAAGCTACGAGCTAGGTAGCCGGATCTGGGCGTTTAACTTTAAAAATACACAACACAAGACAACACTTCTTTATAAATGAAACTACAGTTTATGAAATGCTATTCTATTCGCTATTCTATGGCACATTAAACTAAGCTAAAACACACACACATACACACAAAAGGTTCAGGAAATGAGTTGCTGCGTTTGCATGAAGTTCCCAAAGTTCTAGTAAGTTACTAGTTCTTAGATCGCACCAAGAAAATCACAAAAGCAGAGATTTGTCTTATCTTTACTGCTTAGGATTAATTCAGCATCAGTTCAGCAAGAGATGAAAGCTTTGTTTGTGTACTTGCGTTTTGGTGACAGCTGAGTGGAGTTTCTCTTGTTGGCTTGTCTCAGGGAATTCCAGCGCCTCTGATTGGTTGTAGATCTGTCGTTTGGATGACGTCTTTGGGGAAGCCCTCAGGTAGAGTGAAGGTTTGCCTTGTGACGTAGGAGCTTCGGAAGTCGGTTGCCTTGGGTAAGGTGAGTGAGGCTTGCCTTGAATGTCTTCTGAGAGTTTCTCTGCTTGGCTTTAGGCTTTGAAGATTCCGGCAGTCACAAAGTTTCACGGAGTGTTTGGAGCTTTGAATGACCCGATCGCTTGATGGTACAGCGTGTGAGCGCAAGTTGGAGCGCGGTTAACACAAAGGCGAAAAGGCATTGAATCTGTTTGGACATTGGGTTTTTGATCCAGCTGCATAAGTCCGTCCCACAGATCGTTGTTCCAATTAGATATTGGCTGCTGGGTGGGGCCACGCCCCGCAAGGTTCTTCTTCATGCATAAATTAACATGATGCTTCAATTTATCACATGGGAACATCCTTGCAAGATTTTATTAATACTTCTATAGAGTTTCTTAATGCAAGTATCGTACATATTTCCCACTTCTCATTCATACCAAAGTTTTGCACATAAAATAAGCTTTCATTCAAGCTCAAAACATTGGTTAAACATGCACCGATTACAGGAAACACATCAAGCATATATAAGACATAAAACATATTATTTGTGAATATAGTTGCCCTTTTATACTTTTAAATGATTGTCTTTTGAATTGTCTGTGTAGGTTCTATGTTCCTTGTCTGTGACAGGAGAAATGCGCGTTTTTCTGTAATGTAGAGAAAGGGGGAGGACAGAGAAAGTCCTGAGGTCGATGGAGGTTGCAAAAAGTCATGCTGTAGACCTGCCATTCTTCTCGCTCGGACATGGAGCTATTGATCTGTTGCTTTCTGCTTATCAGATTATCGACTTATGCGTTAAACGGTCATGGGGTCCAGGAGTGTCTGTTGCTGGAACATTTCCAGATACAACGTTCTTTGTTCTGTTGTTTATTAGATTTTTTATTTATGCTGAAACCAGTCACGAGACAGCACTGAAGTTATGTTGCTTAAATGGGTCCAGATGCAGGGGAGTTCTTTTCTCCTGTTGGTTGAGTTAGGTTTTTAGCAGTTCCGATCCCCTGAGGGATAAGGACCAGGCCTTTACAGGAAGCCGGTCCAGACAATCGGGCGTCATGCAGATCATTAATTAGTTTTACGACCGCAGATGGCTGCAGAGGATAATCTTTAGTTTGTTTCTTTGGAATGTGGTTGTTCTGTTCAAACGAGATCCAACAAAAACAACATTGGCGGGCGACAGCCTATGATGTCACTACTGGCACAACCACAGCATAAAAATGGAGCTGATTGAACACGTCATCCGCTTCTTCGTCTGAAGCTTGCGTTTAAGGCATGGCAAGAAAAGAGGATGCAGTGTCATGTTTCCTTCAAGGAACCATGGTTATATGCATTAGGCTAAAGATGGCCTAACAACCTGGATAGACTGTGCACAGAGCTCTGGGAGAGCATAGTCCTTGGTTCTCAGATCAAGAGGAGAACTCACATGCTCCGTCCAGGAGCAGCAGGCTCATTGGTGACCCTCCCACAGTGATGGGAGTACTGCCAAGCTCATACGGGCAGCCCTGACTCTAGGACTTGAGTCCTAGCCTCTCAGATTGAGAAGATAAATCATATGATTGCTCTGGGAGCAGCAGGCTCATAGAAAAACCCTCCCGCAGTGAGTGGAGCACTGCCAAGCTCAACCATAAGCAGCGGCTGTATACAGAGCCCTGAGAGCGGAGAACTCGATTTTCAAATCAACAAGGGAGCTCACATACTCAACCTGGGAACAGTATGTTCATATGTGACCCTCCCGTAGTGAGGAGAGCGCTGCCAAACTCCATCAAAAAGGGCAGTGTAGCAGGGTGACAGAAAGAAGGCCTGTCAACCTGATATAACTGGACACAGGGCTCCTTCACACTCATAAACTCATACATCAGTATAGGGAGAGTGAGGGCCCCATACCGCTAGGCCTGGAAGAGCCTGCTGAAGAAGTTTGAGGGAGCGGTGCCTTAGAATCACCCTTACTTTTGAGGGGAGCAATACTAGCTCGACCACAAGAACAGAACAGGACCCAAAGCCATCTACTCGCTCACTCCTCAGAGCGAGTAATTTCCAAATAGAACTTCAGAATGAAGGGAGTACATCACACTCATACCTCAGGGAATACGTGC